CCTTCAGCTTCTAACCAGAAAATAGCACAGGCAGTAGATTGAAAGCCAAAGGCTTCGCCGATCAACCAGAGCGCGCCTCAATCGCACTCAAAGCCCTTCCCAAGCTATCAACCAAGGGCCGAAACAGGAAGAAACTCGATCCAAGACCTGAAAGTCAATTTTGGAACCTATTGATGCGGTGTGGAAAAGTGGCGCATGTTCACTTGCTTGAAAACATTATAGAGATTTAAAATAGCAGCAATTATACCTTTGTAATCTTTCACTTCTCATCTTCGCATGCTTCCAAAATTGAGAAATTCAGATGCCCTAAAGGAGATTGGGTAATTTCGTGCGTAGTCGCAATATTATCGCTAGGTATATTTATTAAGCCGTTTCTTGTGCCTCGTCCTAGAGATGTATAATACCTCTTCTGTACATTCGCAGCCAAGAGTATCGCAACGTTCAAGAATTAGCACAGAGCTTATTTTCTTTTTTAATAGCCAAGCAAATCCCCTCTTCCCTTCTTTACCAAAAAAAAAAAAAAAAAAAAAAAAAAAAAAACCCCTTTACAGAATCGGAATCCTACACATCAGCCATAGCCCGCCAGTCCCCAACACATCCAACCACCCCTCTCATCAATTTCCAAAACCGAAAACCAAGCAAGCAATTTTTTCCCCTTTTTCCTCTTCTTTTCTTCTCCTCCTTTCACAATTCCATAATTCAGTCTTCATCTATAAAAACAAACACTCACCTTCATCATCATCTTTACCCTCCACCCTCCACCCTCCACCTTTCCAAAACCCCCAATATACCAACCAGCCCCTCAACAACCCAACCAGCCTCACTCAGCACATCTATATACCCATATATCCACATAACCATCCATCCTAACCAAACCTCGCAAGCAAAAAGTTCAAAACCGCTAACTCGTACCTGTATCCCCCCAGCCCCAGCCCTAGCCCCTGCGCCACGCTCCGAGTTCTCCGAATCCAAGGACTATATATATATACATATACATACATATACATACATACATATATATATACATACATATACATACATACATAAATACACATATATATATATTTCAACAAGCTAAAGCCCATCCACTCAAACTATCTCTTAGATCATAGACACCTAGCTTTCTAAACATGTTCAAAGCTGTCCTGTCTCGGTATAGGTATAGGTACGGCTATAAGTACACCTATAAGTACACCTACAAGTACCTATAAGTACCTATAAGTACCTAGAAGTACCTAGAAGTACCTAGAAGTACCTAGAAGTACCTAGAAGTATAACTATAAATAAGCACAAGTAATACCAATCCTTCCAAGTACGTACCAAAAAAAAGCATTCCTCGATCCTTATCTTGGAGAGCAGCTTTTTTTTTTTTCACTTTGTTGCATCACGGCAAGCATTTGATATGACCCGGTATATGAAAAAAAAAAAAAGAAAGAAAGAAAGGATTTGAGTAGAAGGCAGATCAGAGGACCGTGATTTTGGTAGATATATCTAAGTAGGTAGGAGTTTGAAGAATATTTAATTTAATATTTCATAGGCATAAAGTGGAATCCGGCATCCTATGCGAGCGTGCTTCCTGGCGCTGGAAGGGATAGCATGCCAGGCACTTGCCATAGCTAGAACGTGTGGCAACTTCAGCAAACCTACTTGGCGAGAAAATCCATTGGGCGAGGCCGTGCGAGTGCAGATACTTGGTCAGAAGTTGAGATTTCATATCAGAACAAAAGCAAAGCTACCCGAGCTACCTACAGCCAGATATCCATATCCCAATCATCAGTCGCGATCCTATCACGCTGTATAAAACATCCGTCCGGTCCCGCAGCAGAAACTCACGCCCAACGCACAGCATGGCTCTGGCTTTTGCAACGCCGTACGCCTTAGATATCAATTCCATCAACCACAATGCCCTTCTTCCATTCATACTGCATGATACGCTCAACCTCCGTTGCCGCCTCTTCGCTCACCATAATACTCACCAGATACAGGCTTGCATCCAAACCAGTTGTGATGCCACCCGATGTCAGGACGCGCAACCCACCCAGGCGGAGCGCAGCACGACGCGCGTTGCTCTCGCGGCGGGCGTTGCTCTCCTTCCACGCATTGCTGCCCTTGCGGCCTACGGAGGTTCGGCGAGCGTCGGACTTGCGACGGATATATGGGTTCTCGTTCTCGTCACCAATATCAAAGCGGAGGTTGTTGACCACATATCGTTCCTCGACAACATCGCATCGCTCGGCCAGATCGCGCTGCGAGATCTCGGAGCAGATCTTCTCGAACTTGGCGTAGGAGTCGGGGTGTGTGGTGGCCGAGAGACCGGAGAGGATGCCAGCTTGGGCGAGCAGCAGGGAGCCCGTACAGACGGAGAAGACGGTACGCTCCTTCTCGGGGTGCTTCTTCTGGAGGTCGGCGAAGGCTTTGATGAGGCCGATGGGTTCGGACTTGGATTTCAGGAGCGAATCGACGGAGCCGCCGGGGACGACGAGGATGTCGAATTCGGAGAGGCGGCCGTAGGCTTCCTTGAAGCCCATGTGGGCTTGAAAGGAGACGCCCTGGGCGGAGACGGTGAGCTCGTCGGCGGCGACGAAGGTGGCCGAGAAAGCTTTGGTGGCTGTAGGGGTAGGGTCGGTAGCGTTAGCTTCTTTCACACTTGTTTAGATGGTGGTTTTGGACTCGCAGATGCTGAAAACGAGGATTGAAGATAGACATCGGCAGGATGTTATGAAGAAATTGATGGCATTGGTATTGGAGGTGGCTCTGGATATATAGCAGCAAATCAGTAGCTCGCTCGAGTCCACCGCCGCTTGGTGATGATCGTGCCATGCTAATGCGGGGGGTAAGTGGATTTGCGGGGTAGCTCAAGTTGAGCTCGCCGCCGGGGCCGGGGAATTGAAAGCTGCGGAATTGAGATTGGGATTGAAGATATACATCTTGACTTACTCTCATCATTGGGACTGTGCCTGGCCTGGGTCAAGACTTCGAGAGGGCCGATGAAGTCCATGGCGTCCATGCCAGCATGCAGTGTGAATAACACCTTGATGATCGGGACGGGGTCGGTGGCTGCCATGATTGCGATGGATGGCTTGGTTGCTGTTTGTTTGGAAGGGGAAGATGAATTGATGGTATTGATGTTTCTGGGTTGTATGGGGGATAAGCTGACGGAGGAGGAGGAGGAGGAGGAGGAGAAGGAGAAGTAAAAGAAGAAGAAGAATTCGAAGGACCAGAGCTGGATCGAGCTGACTGAAGTGAAATGCTCACGTGGTTTTCTGGATTGATCGTACCACCAAATCGAGCTGTGTCTGTGTCTGTGCGCCCCTGAGAATGCGGGGTAAGTGGATGGATAAGTGGATACGGTAGCGTCACTTTAGTGGGGTCGCTAGTCCCTGGTCACGTTCAGAATAGCGGGTCTTACCGTTGAGATGGAGATACTTCGTATAAAGGTCACGAGAGCAGCTCCACTCGCCCCTTTTCAAGCTCGCCATTCGTCGTTCATCGTCTTCACTTTGCGTGCAACAGGGAGGGGATTCGCTTGGGATTCCTAGTCGACGAATTCGGCTTCGATTTATGCACTGCGAGAGAGATGTTTCGCTGTATTCGGTACCACTACCGGACTACCTTACTTCCGCATTGCGTTGCGCCCGCCCTAAGCCCCATATTTACAATCAAGTTAACCAAGCGAGGACACGCAACTTAATTCACGGTGGCCATATACAACGTAGCTGGCTGGCATAAGAGCCGAGAATGTGCTGGAGAATATCGCTATCGTCTTTGGAAGGTGCGCCCGAGGAGTAGCTAGGGTATATAAGCAGAGCTTCGTCTCTCACTTCGATCCAAATGCTGAGCGCATCGATACAAACCACCACACCAGAAAACTGCTCGGACACCGAATTCTTGACTCCTTATAGTGCAACACTCACTTCTTCCACGACCGATGATCCCATTCAAGCAGCCTTGAGTGGGAATATGGCTCAGGCAAACCAAAGGGGTCAACCAGTGGTCCAGAAAAGAAAATAGGATAGAGAGGACCATGAGGAATCTGACCCTGGTCCAAGGAAGAAGAAGACCGAGAAAGCGAATCACACAACCCAAAATAACAAGGTAGCATCGAGTGTGGCTAAGAAATCGAAGCCAATCCAGAAGAAGCAAACAATTCCCACAGTATCCGATCCACAAATACCGAGACTCGGTGCAGCCTGGCCCTTTGAGGGCGGACATTCCACCTTGGGCGAGCGACGTAGTATCCCCGTCCCCAAACCTCGTCATGCACTTGGAAAGTGGCATTGGTATGCCGCGGCGTGGGTACGTTGATTGCCCAATGGTGCGGGTCGCGAGGGTCTGTCGGGTGGTAGGTATATCACAAGATTGAGAGTACGTCTCGAAGTTCACGAAGTTGTAGGCGGGAATCTGGGTGTCGGGGGAGAGAAGCCTCGTCGGCGTGACACCCGCAGTGTCGTCGGGTGCTGGACTCGTCAAGGCATTGCGAGAGGGTGTGCCGCGAAAAACAGAATTTTATTTATCTATCAAGTAACTGATAGCCAAGAAGAATGCTTGTTATTCGATCATCAGAATGATATTGATTCTTCGACAAAAGAAAGAGTGGCAAGCAAGAAGCAAGTCTCTGTTTGGGATAGCTATCTGCCCCCGAGCATTTTCTGACTTTGGCTATCCAAAACGGACAAAAGAGAGGCAAGTGCCCCCCCGGCGACATTCTCTATCCTTCAAATGCAAGGGACAGTTTATTGTCGAACATATTTGATTCTTTCTTCGTAATCTAAGAAGCCGACGTCGCTAATCTCTAGGTAGATTCGGTAAAATAACAACCTTCTTCAATTGCAATCTATACTCTTACATACTCGTTGATCAGCCTGAATACTCGCTTCATCTGGTTCGCATCTCACCCTCTCTTGACTTGAGAGTAATACTGTTGCTCCATCCGTGTGGTTACAATAGACGTCGTCGATACATGCAGATAGTACTTCGGTACTTTTACTTCGTCGAATAGGCGACGGCAGCTTTCCTGCCATTTGATCTCAGTATATATACGTATATTTGCTTCTCCCGCTTCGTCTGAGAAATAAGTAAGTCGTAAGTAAGTAAGTCGTAAGTCATAAGTCGTAAGTCGTATTAAACCTTGCTGCACGTCGCGGAGGGAACCGACGAGCAGAGCCCCGAGTACCCCAGTCCAAGCCAGCACCTTTTCTACTTTACTTACTGTGTTAGAGATCACAAGTTTTCCCTACTCATGATTAGAGACTCATTGCATATCTACGTTCAGGTAGGATACGTCTTTTTTTTTTTCAGAGCCCGGCGCAGATCTTGCGTTGCTTTTGAGAGCACGTTGGCTTTTACGAATCTCGAAATATGGATCGCTGTGCTTGTGATTGGCGCAGTTCTGAACTGGGCAGACGGAGATATAAGTAAATGTACAGCGAAGGTATTGGGTGCTTGATATGCCCGTCGGTACCTGCTTGTCGAGCAATGGCGATGTTGATATTGATGTTGATGTTGATGAGGATGTGGATGTGGATGTGGATGTGAATGTGAATATGAATGTGGATGTGGATGTGGCTCTTCCCACGTGATAGAGTGGTGGCTGCTAATCATGTGACCCTTCTCTTGGTAAGCCTCTGAGCTGGGTGATGATCAGATTAGATAAGATTAATTACCCCTTTTTTTGATCGGAGATTTGACCGACCGGCCGACCGGCCGCCCGACCGACGGGTGCAATATCCGTACGGACTGTATACTAATCGGGCCGACTTCTTGCCGTGTATTGTGCGAATATACTTGAGAAAGCGGGCCGTCCGTATCGCTTGCACCGGCTGTGTCAGTTAAGTTGGTCAAAGTCTTCTCTTTCTTCTCCTTCACTCTTCCCTTTGATTCTCTGACCGCCCATGTCACATCTTATCCCGCCAGGCAAATCAAGTCACGACAAGCCACGCTTTGCACCGAGAAGCAGAGGGGGGACGCGGTGGGTGGTCGAGCACTGGTGGAAAGGCGATCTGATAAGATCTTGGTAGATCTTGGGCATCCGAGATCGGCCCTTGGCATTGGCAGGTGCCCCGCATGCGACGAGCTTTGCGGGTTGAGGTGCACTCCGGAAGCAGGAACTTGCCATTTTCCATGACGTCGACCCGTAATTCGATAGTTGATTGGTAGGGTATTACTTAATCAATCGTCTTTTCAACATTCTTTCCCCAACGCTACTGTATCGGGTACCTGTTTCAGCCGAGGTGGAGGGAAGGTGCCCCTGCTTATCTGATCTGATGTGATCCGCTGTACTCGCACCCCACCCCCCACCCGGCCAGTTCTCGGATCATGGACCCCACATCAAATCCGCCACCCCTTCCCACCCAAATATGCCCGGGCAAGAAGGAGATCTTTTACCCTTCGACCCTTCTACCTACGCATCTTCCATCTCTTGCTGACGACTTCCTACTTCCTACTCCGGTCAAGGTCCCTCGCCAAATAAACCCCGGCCGAGCCCAATCCAGCCCAACTCCTTTTTATAAGCACACACCTCTCTCCTACCTTTCTGTTCTTTTCTTTCTTTTCCCTTTCTTCTTCCTCCTCTTCCTCTTCATCCTCGACTACACCACACACCTCTTTTCCTTCTTGACACCACTACTACCATCCGTCACCGTCACCAGTTCCTACTTCGACGCTGCATCCTCCTCCTTTCAACCCCCTATCAACCTCCGATCAACCATCACCATGACGCGCCCGATAGCCCTCCGTACTATGACCACCTCCCACTGCATCCCGAAAGAACCCGTCACGTCTGAATCTGCCGTCCCAGCCCTGAGCTACTCCTCCTCTTCTTCCGCCGACGAGATCGAAGAGCCTCCCCGCCCCCGTCGCGCCTCCACCAAGCTCATCTCCCAGAATGCCGCCGACCTGCAGAGACTTATCGGGGAGCCGGGCACTCGGCTAGTGGAGAAGTGCTGTGGTGGCGGATGCTGCATGGCGGTTCAGAAGACGGATGGCCTGAGCTTCGAGCGCGTTCCGGTCCCCGATAATGACGCCTTTAAAGCGCTGGGCTTGAAAATTGGTCCTATCCCGGCGACCCTGTCTGGCATTCCTGATCTGCCTCCTCAGCATGTCCATATTGAGAGCATCAAGAAGGGTGCGGCGATCCAACCACCGGCGGACTCGGGTACCTCTTCGCCAGAGCTTTCTACGGCCATTGACTTCACCCCCCATCCATCCAACGAGCCCGTCAAGATCGATACCCGAGTCCACCCTCCCAGCTTCGTCCAGCCGCACCCCCCTTATGATGTCTACTCAGCCAAGATCCATTCCGCCCGCGAGCTGACGAAACCCGGCGCCGAGAAGAGAACATACCATTTTGACCTCGATGTGACAGACTACCCCGAGGAGTCGGGCGTGGACTTCAAGGTGGGAGGAGCCATCGGAGTGATGGCACCCAACGAGAGCTCTGTTGTGGATGATCTGTTCGACCTCCTCCTCGTACCCCGTTATCTGCGCGATCGTGACATCCTCCTCAAGACCGACAGCGGCAGATGGCCTACCGTGTGGGGTGAGGACCAGGCCCGCGAGATAACGACCACCCGCCGCGTACTCCTCACCTGGTGCAGCGACGTCCAGTCCTACCCTCCAACCAAGCCTCTGCTGCGCGTCCTCGCCGAATACGCCTCCGATCCCAACGAGAAGAAGATACTGCTGTTCCTCTGCTCAGCCGAAGGCCAGGGCGCTTTCTGCGACTTGAGAACCGGCTCCCACATCACCGTCAACCAACTCCTGCACGCCTTCCCCTCTTCGAAGCCACCCCTCGATACCCTGCTCTCACACCTTCAGCAGCTGATGATGCGCTTATACAGCTTGTCCAACGACCCACAAGAGAACTGCGTGTACAAGGACGGTTGCCGTCGCTTGATTGAGTTTGCCGTGACCGTCCACGAGACTCCCGACTGGCGTGGTGGTCCCCGCACCGGGGTTGGATCGGGCTTTTTTGAGCGTCAGGCGAAGGAGTTCATCGAGGCCGAGAAGAGAGGGGAGAAGATTGATCTGCGGGTGCCCATGTTCAAGGGCTTGATGGCCAATCCGCTCGCGAAAGAATTCGTGTCGGACGGCCCCATGCTGCTGATTGGTGCTGGTGTCGGTATCGCTCCGTTTCGCGGTTTTGTGCAACGCCGGCTCAAGAACGCCAACTGCGCGAATAAAGTCTGGGTCCTGCAGGGTGTTCGAGATTCTCTCCTCGACGAGCTATACTCGGGCGAGTGGGGGATGCACGAGAAGGAGGTGAAGAAGGTGGTGCAGTCGCGAAAGCACACGGGCAAGGGCAAGTATGTCCAGGACGAGGTTCGGGCCCAGGCCGACCTGGTGTGGTTCATCATCAACGCTCTGGATGGCCGCGTATTTGTCTGCGGCAGCAGTAAAGGCATGGGAGAGGGCGTCGAGGAGGCCCTGATCGATGCTGTCATGCTGAAGGGCAACCTTGTGCGCGAGGAGGCGGAGAACTTCTGGAAGCTGAAAAGGGAGGCTGGGCAGTACATTTCCGAAACGTGGTAGATTGGATCGCACTTTGGGGGTGGGGATTTGGACGTATCGGATGGGTAGTCCACATTGTATATATGGGGCTTGGGATGGATTCTGTGTGGGAGGCAAGGCGAATGGCGTTTGGGGGGTTGCATTGGATCGGAACGGATCTCGGGCGGTATTTTGGCATGGCAGACCAGATGCATGGCCAACCTGGATCTGGGTGGGGTAAGACTTGAGGTCGTCGGTGGCTAGGGCACGAGAATGGATGGGTGTATGATAGGAAACGAAACGAAACGAAGTGATATGATTGGCGGGCGGGCGGTACATGAATGCATAAAGATACACACATAGAACAGAACAGCAAATGGTAGCGCGAGCGATCAATTGCATCCATCCATTTTTACCTCGAGCGAGCAATTGCTTAGGGTAATTCAGTTCTGCAAACTCAAGAGAGATAATTAATTCATTGGTCTTGAAATTCCTTTTTGGAGGGGTGGTTTTTTTTCTTTTCTTCTTCATAAAAAGCATCTCCAAATATCTACCTGTATGTAGGTATAGCAGCTATTATACCGTACCACTGAAATTGAGATGTATATAAAAAGTATCTATAAAATGTATGTATAAAATGTATATATAAAACGTAATCAAAAAGACGCCATCACCCATTCGTCCGTCTACCTATCTATACATCTATACATCTATACATCTATCCATCTATTATGCATCGGTCTCGTCGCCATGAACGCGACAGCGGCAGCGAAATCCTATCTACATGGTTTATAGGTATAGATGATAAAAGAAAATTAGAGAAAGGAAAAAGAAAAGGAAAATGAAAATGGAATGGAAATGGATGACGAGAGAAAAGAGAGGAGAAGAGAAGAGAAGAGAA